GGATAGACTGTCGCTGGGTGTACCGGTAAGGGGGTTTCAGGAGATGAGCTTCTGAACGATGGGCTCCTTGGTGAGCAGCTTTCTGTGACTGTAACCAAACACCTGAGACAGCCCCTTAAAAACAGAAGAGGCAGCCAGGCGGTGGTGGCACACGCCTTTAATCCCAGCACTTGGGAGACAGAGACAGGAGGATCTCGGTGTGTTTGGGGCCAGCCTAGTCTACAAAGCAAGTTCTAGGACAGCCAGGGCTACACAGAGAAACCCTGCCCCAAAAAAACAGGAAAAAAAAAAAGAAGAGCTTTATTTGGAATGACAGCTTAGAGGTTTCAATCCTCCGTCAGTTGGTCAGCTGGCCGGGTTACTGGTTACTGTTGGTTTGTGGCAGACAACACATCAGGTTGTGAGCACAAGACAGAGGAATCCTCGTTACCTCATTCCTGGGAACAAAGAGAAAAGGAAAACACATACCCACAACTGCCTAAGACTTTTGTCAGTCCTTTTGTTCTTATTTATTTGCTTGCTTGTTTGTGTTTGTGTTTGTTTTGTTTTTCCAGACAGGGTTTTCTCTGTGTAGCCCTGGCTAACCTGGAGCTCACTCTGTAGACCTGGCTAGCCTCAGACTCAGAGATTAGGCTGCCGCTGTCTCCAGAGTGCTGGGATTAACAGTGTGGGTTGCTACCGGTTTGAGGTTCCAACTCTTAAATGATTCTGTCACCTCCCAAAATTGCCAAACTAAGGACTAAGCCTCTAGCACAGTGGTTCTCAACCTGTGGATTGGAACCCTTTTAGGGGTTAATGGCCCTCTCACAGGGGTCGCCTAAGACCATTCTGTTTATTAGATATTTACAGTACAATTCATAATAGTAGCAAAATGACAGTTATGAAGTCTCAATGAAACAATTTAATGGTTGGGTCATCACAACACGAGGAGCTGTATTAAAGGGTCACAGCATTAGGAAGGCTGAGAAACCGCTGCTCTAGCACATGGGCTTTGGGAACAGAGAGGGGCAGCATTTGAAATCAGACAAGCTGATTGCTCTCCCCAGGGTGATCAGACCATCACAGAGCATCTGAGGAGAGCAGACGGCAGGAAAGGAGAGTTCACCCCTGTTTCTCTGCACCTCTACTTCAGTCAGGACATCCACCTCATTGCCTCCATGGGCTCCCAGGGTGTCCAGGCCTTTAGACTTGACCCCCACTACACTGCCAGCCTTCCCGGGTCTCCAGCTGGATGAAGATCACAGAGAGACTTTTCAGCCTCCGTCCCCGCACGCGCAGACTCACGCAGGCGCTCAGCCAACATCCTATCCATTCTGCTGCTTGGAGAGCCCCAGTACTCCAGCCTTCTCTCTCTCCAAACTCAGCTTGAAATGTATTTCTGTTTATAAGCCCTCTCTCTTCACATGGAGGTGAGGTACATTCTCAATGTGATAGGGAGAAGGGAAGCCACAGGCCCGCAGAGGGCCTCTACCGCAAAGCAGAAACTCTGGGAAAGAGAGGTCAGGTCTTTATTCGTGTGGACCACTGTGTTTGGCCTCCTATCACTCTGGGGCTGCTTTATAGCCCTACCGGCAGAGAAAGCATCCCCTTTTAAAGCGAGCTGTTTGTAGCAGCCCTTCTCATTTCCTAAAATAAAAATAAAAAAAGGCAAAGTAATCAGAGACCTCTCCCCAGAGAACGTAGAAATACAGTGTTCTAGCTTGAATTGGAAATAAAAGGCTATTTACAATGAAACAGCCCTTCTACGTGTAATGCTGGGAATAAGACTCCACTCGCCACGGGCCCGGTACAGGTGTGCCTGTTTATACTACATAAGGAAAATGCAAAAGAAATGGCTCTCTGTATATACCCAAATTAAGATTTTAAAATACAGGCTAAATGTCACCAAGGGAAAATTATTTTCAAAACTAGTGAACAACCAATATAATTCTAAAGAGATGAAATTCGGTTCTTCCAGATTGCCCTGGCGGTCCCGGGTAGAAGAGGACGACGTCTTTGCAGACAGACTCAGTAGTAGCTGTAGGCAGTGCTGACTGTAGACAGCATTAACACCCTAGCGGTGTCAGGCGCCTTTGGACTTCGTGGGAGGGGCGTAACAAGTCAGCCTCGTGCCGGACCGGCCTCAGCGACTCCAGGCGGAACGCCCACACTGCCATCTCTGTTCCAGGGCTCGTGGGCGAGGAAAGGACCCGGCCCTGTCCCTTTGCATGCAGGAGGAAGGCGGCACAGTCACCACAGAAAGCCGTTCTCCAACTGACCACTAGGGGGCGTGTCGAAACCAGGATCCTAACATCTGCAGGGTCACGGCCAGATGTGTCTTCATTTGCGAGCTGACACTCGTGAAATAATTCACAGTGGGACTTGCGCTGTGCTAGGATGGCCGGCATTTGTCCAAAGTCATCCCCACCCACACCCGCTTCTCTAGAAGTACAGTCGTGTACACAGGGAACACATTCGGTTAACGCTCAGAGATTCTGTCAGGGTATCGGTTACACTGACGCCAACACAAGTGTACAGCTTGCCACTCCTCGTAGCCTCATCAAGACAGTGGGCAACATGAGATGTATTTGGATGCCTAAGTCTAACAGCAAGGGGCAGTACAGTAAACACTTTTTTTCCTTGGGTCCCACAGACAGCATCCAGGGCCTCACACATACTAGACAGGCAGGCTCCATCTCCAGCTTCAGCAAATGTTTTTCATACATGCAGGAATGCACTCTGAAACAATGACAGTGCCGTACAGCAAACATGTAAGCCAGTGAATTCGTCATGCCTTGTCATGGCCAGGTATAGCATGCTGTCTATTATTGTGTATGGTATACTTTTACGACTGCTAACAGAGTAGGTTTGTTTACAGGAGATCACCACAAGCCGGTGAGTAATGTCCTCTGATGTCTGAACAGTTACCATGTCACTAGAAGATAAGACATTTTCAGCTGCTATTATCTTATGAGACAGCCTATGTAAGTGGTCCATCACTGACCAAAACAGAAGTCAAAAGACTGAGCTATAATAATAATAATATAAGAATCATCACTCTTTTAAAAAAAACTTACCTTCCACCATTGTCTTGGTGCTTTGTCAAGTGTTGAATGTTTGATAAGGAGGCTGGGGGGCAGAACACAGTGGTCTGCCCAGAGTTCCATGGCTGGCAGCTGGCAGGAAATCCCTAACCTCCATTGTTGAAAGCCACCTGGAAAAGAGTCCTGTGTGCCAGAAGGAATCGCTCTACAATGACATGGATGGGGGGAAGCGATGATATGAGGTGCGTTTTTCTACGGTGTTTGTGGCTTGACTCATTCAAACATATTCATTCAAATATGTTGTACTGGGGAGGTCGGATGAGGCCAGCATTCACAGCACAACCGCGGCTTAGGAAACAAGCGGTACCACCGTCAATAGACAAGCTGAGCCTTGTTTGTTTTCAGCCCTCACTGTGGATAAGAAACGTGAGGAATGATCTATCTATCTATCTATCTATCTATCTATCTATCTATCTATCTATCATCTACCATCTATCTATGAAGGCTGACATCAAATTCCCTGCCACTTCCCAGCGTAATTTTAGTCAGAATCTCAGAAGATGAGGCCCAGACACTTTGGCTCGGGTTTTTACTAGGCTTTCCTATTTTGTTTTTGAGATGGGTTCTCCTATATTATAGCCCAAGTGAGACTTCAGTTCCTGGGTCCAGGAAAAAACCTCAACTGTTGTATCAGGCCGAGTCACCCCACAAGAAGACATGACATGAGGACCCCCTGGGTACCAAGTGTAACCCGAAAGCCTCCTGCTCATGCTTTCCTTGATGTAAGCTGGTTATTGACCAGTGTTCTTTCCCCAGCAGCATCGTTTGGCTCAAGGCCTTATCACATTCTAATGTAATCCAGAGTTATGTTTATAAATTTTTAAAATATTGTATTATTGCTCTGTGTGTGTGTGCGCGCACGCACACACACATATGAATGCACATGGATACAGATATGTGTGTGTATGCACCTACGATGGTATGTTTGCGAAGGTCAGTGGACAGCTCTTGGCAGCCAGTTCTCTTCTTCTACCTTGTGATCTGGGATCAAATCCAGGCCATCCGTTTTACCTAGAAAAATACTTTTACATGCTGAGCCGGCCATCCCCGCAGCCCAAGTTCTGCTTTTCAAAAGTCATAATTGAGAGGCGTGTGAGTGCCTTTCTCCTTTCTCTCTGCAGTGAGCAGATGACTTTCTGGGTCATACCTAAAACTCGGGTGTCCCTTGGATGGACAGCCTATAGCTTCTCTAACGTGTTCCCTGCTGATGTGTCCCCAGGGGTAGACTTCCCACCTAATGGGAGTCAGCAGCCCAATGTAGCAGAAGCTTCCTTAGTTATTCTGGGCCAAGCCATCCACCCCTGTAAGATGTGGTCCAGATTACTCTTTTTTGTTTTTTTGTTTTGTTTTGGTTTGGTTTTTGTTTGTTTGTTTGAGACAGAGGGTGTGTGTGTGTGTGTGTGTGTGTGTGTGTGTGTGTGTGTGTGTAACCCTGGTTGTCCTGTTGTCCTGGAGCTAGCTCTGAAGATCAGGCTGGTCTCAAACTCACAAAGATCTGTCTGCCTCTTTCTCTTGAGTCCTGGGATTAAAACTTTGAGCCACCACTGCCAGCCAGGATCACTCTTAACCAAATGGTTTTAGATATGGAACCAAGAATCTGTTGCTTTGGCGAATCTGCCAGTTAGCAGATTTCCATCATTTCCAATTAATCCATTTGAGCATCAAGATGGAGGGAAGGCTTTGGTTCTTAGTGTAGTGCAGGCGCCTTACCCCTCCGTTAGCCTCCCCTGCCTCTGCCCTTGTTCACAAGCTCACTGTCTTCCAAGGAGAACCAGGCTTTTCCTCTGCATCTCCCACCACACTCACTCACTTGACTCCCCGAGTGGAGGGCCGCATACCCTGGCAGCTCTGCGGTTCCCCTGGGCCTACATCCCCACTGCTGTGGGGCAGTCACCAGAGCGACAGCTCAGGCACATGTTTAAGTCAGTAGAAAGTCTTTATTAGCCAGCCAGCGACTACGCTGGGTATTTGGGATTCAATGTATGTCCAAGACGTTTTTAGGGTGAGCTTTTCAGCACAAAAACCATGTCCTAGGTTCACACACTTCAGTTAGCCAGAAGTGGAACTACAGAAGCCAAAAAGCAAGGTTAGTACACTAGAGACTTTCTCAGAACGGAGGACTTTGATGGGTTAGGCCTTTGTTCTCATTTTGGCTGGCGGTGCTGTGTACCTGTTGTTTCACAGCCTGAATGGCACTTCCATCATGGAGTCAGTCGTGCTCAGGTCTAGGACCCTGTCACACCACTACGTTTGAGCTGCTCAGCTTTCCAGTTTCTGTGGGACGGATGCAGAGACATACCAATGATGGTTTCACTTGCGTTTCTGTAACTCCTCAGTGGGACTTTTAATCCATCTGTGCATGCTCTGTTAAGTTGCTGAAATCAATCTGGTTTGATTTCCGTAACATCCCTTGCCCTTTTGGCTCTCTTCTCTAGCCAGGCACCAGCTCAAACTGTTTTTCTAGTTTCTTGTTCTTGGCCAACTGCTTGAAGCACAGGCAGAAGCATGTCCTGCCTCTGTGAGAACGGCCTGCAGAATCCTTAACAAACACAGATGTGCAATTTTCCTTTACATTGTGTGAATATATGTGGCTATGATTTGCTTAATAAGGAAGCTGACTGGCCAGTAGATGAACAGGATAAGATTAGGTGGGAGAGCCAAACTGAGACTTTTGAGAGGAAGAAGGGCAGAGTCTGGAGTCACAAGCAGATGCAGAGAGAAGCAAGATGGGCATGCCGTACTGAGAAAAAGCATAAGAAATATGGATTAATTGAAAATGTAAAAGTTAGCTAGTAACAAGCCTGAACTATTAGCCGAACATTCGCAATTAATATAAGCCCCAGTGTGTTTATTGGGGAGCTTCTGGTGGTACAGAAACTCCATCTACACACAGATTCCTCAAAGGGGGCTGGAGAGATGGCTCAACAGATAAAAGAGCTTCTGCTTTTGCAAGGGTCTAGGATCTGTTCCCAGACTCCTTCCGTCCACATCGTACCCCAGAGACCGAAGGTTCCTCTGGGCTCTAAGCTTTGGCCTTCATTTCCCACTCTCTCCACTCCAGTGCCCTGCCTCCACTTCATGTCCCCAACACCCAGCTCCCACTCTGCTCAGCCTGTGACTTACTCAAGGGATCCACAGGCCTCCTATATGGGTTAATTTTGCTGATTTGAACAAGCAAGGCCAACTAGAAAGGAAACCTCAGTAGAGAAAAGGCCTCTATCAGACTGGTCTATAGGCAACTCTTTCGGGCCTTATTATTATTACTTCATCATCATCATATTTATATTTATTTGTTATTATTGGTCAGACAGAGTCTCACTGTGTAGCTCTGGCTGTTCTGGAACTCTCTATGTAGACCAGGCTGGCTTTGAACTTACAGAGATCTACTTGCCTCTGCCTCTTGGATGTATGTATTAAAGGTGTACACCACCACACCCAGCAGTGGGGCTTTTCTTGATTAATGATTGACGTGGGAAGGGCCCAGGCCTGTAGCACGAATTCTAATTGGGATTACTAACAAAAACTCGGAGTCAGCTATCAGGGGTGAAAGCTGAAGGATTGGAGAAGCTGAGCGGCAGTCACTAGAAAGCTCCTACTGCTACCGTTATTCAGACCAAAGGGGCGAGCCTGTCTCCACGAATCCTCAGACTGACTGCTGTCTCTATGAAACCTCAGACTGACTCCTGTCTCCATGAATCCTCAGACTGACTGCTGTCTCTATGAAACCTCAGACAGAATGCTCACATGCTCACTACCTTGAGCTCCTGTCTCCTTCCACCTTATACTCCTCTCTCCGCCCAGCCATATCCCTCCTGTCTCCACCTCCCTAGTGCTGGGATCAAAGGCGTGTGATTCCCAAGTGCTAGGATCACCTTTGTGTGAGTTCTGTTTCTGTTTTAGACAGGTTCAATATCTTGAGCCCAGGGTGGCCTTCAACTCACAGAGATCTGTCTGCCTCTGTCTCCTGAGTGCTGGGATTAAAGGTGTGTACCACCACTGCCTGGCCTGTATGGTTAACTAGTGGTTTAGCTCTGCACTTTGATCTTCAGACAAGCTTTATTTGTTAGATCACAAACAAAATATCACTACACAGGTCACTGTGGACAGCACCACCCTGTGCAGGTGGCCCCTGTGAAGTGTAAGAAAGTTAGCTGAACATAGCCTGACAGCAAGCAGTAAGCAGTGTTCCCCTACGAGTCCACTTCAGTTCCTGCCTTGAGTTCCTGCCCTGACTTCCCACAACAGCGAACTATGATATGAACTCATAAGTCAAATAAACCCTTTTCCTCCCCCAGGCTGGGTTAGTTTGGTCGATGTTTCATCCCTACAGAAACTTAACTAGAACACCCCTGAATGCCAAGCCCTTGGCACTTTCACACACAGACCTCTTTGTGTTTGGAGGTTACTTCCCAAACTCCTGTCTAAGTTCCTTCCTGGGCTGGGAGCTGGGGAGCCACAGTACATCTTATATCTTACTCCACCTTTCCACTCTGCAGCCCTGTAACCAAGTGAGTGGTTGTGTAACAATCTGGGGGAGGGCATGTGAGCGAAAAGAAAGGGAAGATGAAAAGAGAGTGTGTTAGGAATATGTTTTATTATCATTGGTTAAGCTGTTTCGGTTTATAGTAGGGCAGAATATAGATAGGCAGAGAGAGAGAGAGAGAGAGAGAGAGAGAGAGAGAGAGATGCCATGTAGCTGCCGAAAGAAACAGATGCCAGAACCTTACTGGTAAACCACGACCCTCATAGCAATACAGAGAATAATAGAAATAAGTTAATTTAAGATATAAGAGTTAGTTAATAAGATCCTAAGCTAATAGGCCAAACAGTGTTTTAATTAATTAAGTTTCTGTGTGATTATTTCGGGTCTGAGTGACCGGGAAACAAACGAGCAGCCTCCGACCATCCACTGGTCTAAGGATGGAGCACGAAAAGGTGTGAGAACACTCCCAGCTCCTAATCTGGGCTTGTCATTCTGCTGAGTGAGAATCGGGAGTTGGTGGGGGGACACTGTTTAGATATTCTCTGGTTATGGGAATCGGGAGTTGGTGGGGGGACACTGTTTAGATGTTCTCTGGTTATGGGAATCGGGAGTTGGTGGGGGGACACTGTTTAGATGTTCTCTGATTGATCATATAGAGGACGGTGTGCAGCTAACAAATGCAGAGCCTGAGATGAAGATGTGAGGCCATTGGTGCTGCGGAGCCCATGCCCTGAGTGGTGGCTGAGGGACACCCCTAGATGGGATTGCGGAGACATCTTAGAAACCAGGGGAAGAGGAGAGCCGTTCAGTGACCGAGCAGCGCAGCGTCAGATGCCCTGAAAGCCATGGCACAAGGCAGTTACCCCCAACTACCAGCTCCTCTCCTCCCCCTCCTCAGGCTTTCGCTCCCTCCTCAGGGAACAACCATCTTGTGGACTGAACGGGCAAAGCCACACTGCCCTCCTGAAAGCCACGCAGCCAGGCTTTGCTGGCTAAGGCAACCCCTTACCTTGATTTCTCCTGGATGCAGCTTGAGAGGTTGCCAGGACGATACTGTTTCCCCACACACCCCTGCCCTAGCCTTTTCTAGTCAGCTCAGCTCCTCTAACATCCCTTTCCTTTCTCTATTGTGAGAACAGAAGTGGCTTTTCATCTATCAAAGGGATGTAGCCTCTACTTTGTATAACTACAGTAGCGGTGAACATATCTCAAATCTAGAATTCAGATCAGGGAGTAGGGTGGGGTTAAATAATAGGAAAATACTGTGATGGGGTGTTTTAGTCTCTAGACCAGTGGTTCTCAACCTGTGGGTCATGACCCCTTCGACAAACCTCTTATCTCCAGAATATATTTACATTTATGATTCATAACAGTAGCAAAATTACAGTTATGAAGTAGCAATGAAAATAATTTTATGGTTTGGGGTCACCACATTGTGAGGAACTGTATTAAAGGGTCACAGAGTCAGGAAGGTTGAGAACCACTGCTCTAAGCCATGGTGTGGTTTCCAAAGTTGGATTGAGGATAAGCTTGTTAGGCCACAGGCTCCAAGAGGGCATGGTGAGGAGACACCAGGTGAAGCAGGCCTCGCTCCCCCCTACCCTGGAGATACAGCCATGTCCCTTACATCAGCGTCAGACATTCAGCTCCCCCTGCCTCCAGAAGTCACTTGTTCAGGCTTCTGGGTCTATTCGCTGCACTTAGGGCCCAGCAGCTTGAGCCTCAATAGACACAACGACCCTCATGGAGCCACAGCTTGACCTTAACTCCCACTCCTGACTGGAATTGTAAGCCATTGCCGGGGTGTCCGAGCCTTGTCTGGAAGACAGCTGGATTCTCAGCCAGCGACACTGGGCCTCCTCACAGGAGAGGACCACGGTGCCCTCAGGGTTGCTATAAATGCACTGGCTGCGGGCTGCCCTCCCCTCCACTGCCAGATCCCAACTGCCCACTGGCTCCCTGTCATCCAGCCCCAGGGCCAGGAAGCCCAAGTGGCCCGGGGTGACAGGACACACCAGCTGTTCCTTCTTCAAGCTGGGCACCGGTTGGCCCTTAAGGTAGGCTGGGCCTGCGCAGTAGGTACGGGTGTTGAGGATCCGGTCGTTGTAGAGGCGGAGCCAGCTCGTGAGGTAGGCCAAGTGGCAGTCACACTGCCAGGGGTTGCTGGACAAGGCCAGGTTGAAGAGGTCGTAGTTGGTGTCAAAGATGCCCCCGGGGAGCATGGTCAGCTGGTTCTTCGACAAGTTGAGCTGCTCAAGCCTGGACAGGTTCTGAAAAAGGGCCGGGTGCAAGGCCGTCAAGTTGTTGTCGTTCAAAGAGAGCCTGACCAACTGCTCGAGGTCCCTGAAGACATCCTCGGGAAGGTGTGTGATGGCGTTGTGCGCAAGCGTGAGGGAAACAAGGCGGGACAGGTTGGCGAAGGTGCCCTCGGCGATGCCCTCCAGCTGGTTGTAGGACAGAGACAGGTGAAGCAGCCCTGGGTTGTGGGTGAAGAGGGTGGCAGGCAGAGCCCGCAGTGCGTTGCCCTGCAGGTTGAGATAGGTCAGGTTGCGGAGGGAGGAGAAGACGGAGGCCGGCAGGTGTCGAATGGCATTGTGCTGCAGCCACAGATTCTCCAGGCTGAGGAGCTGGGAGAAAGCCTGTGGTGACAGCTCTGTGATGCCATTGCTGTCCAGAAAGAGCTCCTGCAGGCTGCCCAGATTGTCCAGCAACCCCTCGGGGAGGCTGAAAAGCATGTTGTTACTCAGCTTCAGTATCTGCAGGCTTCTGAGTGACTGGAACAGTCCCTTCGGGAGCTTGCTCAGAAGGTTCTGCTCCAGGTTGAGGGTTCTCAGGTATCGCAGAGGCTGGAACAGTCTCCCAGGCAGGGTCTGAAGCTGGTTTCCCTGAAGCTGAAGGGACTCCAGGTTGTCCATGTGGTGAAAGAAGTCCTCAGGCAGAGCCACAAGCCTGTCGAAGTCCAAGGTGAGCTTCTCCAGTGAGCTCAGGTTAGAAAAGACGTTGGCACTGAGACTGGAGAAGGGGCTGCCTGTCACCTCCAGGTCCACCAGGCTGGGCAGTCCCCCAAAGGCATCGGGCTCCAGGTGACGGACCTGAGTGTTGAGGAAGACCACCTTGGTCAGGTTGCAGCTACCGTGGAAAGCCCTGGTCCCCACTGTGGTGAAGGCAGTCTCCACGAAGACGATGTTTGTGACGTGTCGGGGGATGTCCGGTGGAATGGTGGCCAGCTGCTCATCTGAGCAGAATACCTCTCTGTCAAAGCAGTCACAGCCCATAGGGCAAGGCTGGATGGGCCTGGTCAGGAGCAGGAGTGAGGCCCAGCACAACCAGACTCCTGGAAACATCTTCTGGATCCAAGGATGACAGAAAACAAGACAAAAAGGAGTGCCTTTAATAAGGGCATCACACCGCAGTGCCCAGAGCACGGGAAAGTGACCACTACCCTCAGTATGAGCTCAGGCTGCAAGCAAGAACTGGCCTCTTCAAGGAGGCTATGGTTTGGGCAACAGTTGCTTGTGTGATCCATTGCTGGGGACAGAACCTAGGGCTGTCTGTATACACTAGGAAAGCTTTGGCATAAGCCCCAGTCCCAGGTTGTGTTTTGAGCACCTTGTTCAAACCACTTACAGGTGGTAGTGGACTGGTTCTTATTTCCTGGAAGCAAAGGTGTCAACCACATTGCCTGTCCAAGTACCCTTCAAGTTAGTGGTTATGACAAGAGTAAGACCTGAGTATTCTAGGGTGTCCGTGTTCTTCCCAGATTGGAGAATGATATGCAAAGAGTCAAAAAAGGCTAGGGAGAGGGGCACAAGCTGTGTGAAACTATTAGGGATAATATATAAAATGTGGACACATTAGCCCTAGATTGGAAATTTCTAACCCAAAACCCTTCTTGATTTCCAGATCTCAGCACAGTTCAGAGCATGGCAAAGAGGGTCCCTGCACCCTGCTCTTAGCTGGGAGACACAGCACAATAACCGGGCTTCTCAGAACTGTACCCAGTGCTGCCCTCACTGCCTTGCCTGTCGCCCATGGTTCCAGTATCAGGGAACTTCCTAGCGTCCAGACACAAAGGCTTGACAGGAAACTCAGGGAAACCAAGCTTCATCTACTATGTATTCAATGAAAAACAAAAAGGTCGAGCTGGGCAGCGGTGGCGCAGGCCTTTAATCCCAGCACTCGGGAGGCAGAGGCAGGCGGATCTCTGTGAGTTCGAGGCCAGCCTGGTCTACAGAGTGAGTTCCAGGGCTGGCTCTGTAGCTACTGGGAAACTTGGTCTCAAAAAATCGAAAATAAAGAGATAAATAGTCTAGGATGGGGGGGGGGGGTCCATGCCAGTGTGCGGACCAATCACAGCACTCTGGATGCTGGGGCAGAGATTGGGCGGGAGTTTTAGGTGGAAGTTTTAGGCTAGCCTCGGCTACCTAATAAGCTCCTGCCAACTTGGGCTGTCTTGAGAGGGGCTGGCTATCAACAAACAACTACAGAAGATACCGTCAGCATCCACTAACAGGTCACAGACGAGTGCTGTAGCCCCCAGTGCATTTTGTTTAGTCCTTGGCGAACTTGCAGGTCACACATAAAAACTGGGACTCCCATATCGGAAGTCCACATTTCAGAATGTGGACTAGGAGCAGGAGGTTCACCTTCCCACCCAGGGGCAAACTGGGCCTCAGCAGCCCCTGCCCGTCAGAAGACAGGCACCCTGCAAACCACAGGGGGATCTTCTCTCCTGTTTACGTGACTCGTGGAGGTTCCAACCCCAAGAGTTCAAATCCCAGGCTCATGACTTTCCAGTCTAGTGACCCGAGGCGTGTTGTTACCTGTGCTTCAGCTTATGTTCAGGCTGGGGATAATAACAGTCCTGAGACAGCGCGGTGACTGTGAGCACTGGGTGAGCACGCTCAGATCAGGGGCACAGAGTGAACGAGTAATCAGGAAACTATGCTGACTGTTAGGTGGAAGGGCACCGGCATTACAAAAAGACTACTTGAACAACAACAGCGAAGATACTTTATAACTAGAATACGTGTGACTTCACAGAAAATAAATAAAAGTCAAAGAAGCAAGAAAATAGTCAGGCTGTTTCTCTGCTGCCCTCTGCGGGCGGTCAGGAGTGGCGCCTACAGACTCCATTGGGTTCCTTGAGTGGAGCGCCACAGGTTTGGGGTGCAGCCACCCTTCCCTGCCCTGCAGACCCTCGCCATCAGCGGGCTAGGAACGTGGCCTAGAGAGCTTATGAGAACAAGAGACGCACAGTTCTTGCTGTTAACGTGCCGAAGGGGGTCCAGTTGCCCATCACCCTCCCTGACTAAAGGGTCTCACAGGAAGTTTCCAGAAAAAAGTGCCTCCGAATAAAAATCTATACAACTCAGGGGATGTAAGGGTCCCGAAGGCCTTTTCACAGGGATAGTAAGTGTGGAGGTTCGCATGAGAATGACCCCCATGGACTCATATATTTGAATGTTTGCTTCCCAGCTGATAGACTGTTTAGGGAGATTAGGAGGTGTGGCCTTGTTGGAGGAGGTGTGTCAGTGGTGCCCACACCAAGCCCAGTTTCTCTTTCTGTCTGCTGCTCGTGGAGAGTTATGTGAGCTCTCAGCTACTGCTCCAGCACCAGGCCTGCCTGCCAGCTGCCATGCTTCTTGACCTGTGATCACAGACTCACCCTCTGAGACTGTAAGCAAGTCCCAAACCAAATGTTCCCTTCTAGAAGTTGCCTTGTTTGGTATGTCTCTTTGCAACAATAGAACAGCAATGAAGGGCTGGAGAGATGGCTCAGAGGTTAAGAGCACTGCCTGCTCTTCCAGAGGTCCTGAGTTCAATTCCCAGCAACCACATGGTGGCTCACAGCCATCTGTAATGGTGTTTGTTGCCCTCTTCTGGCCTGCAGGCATACACACAGACAGAATATTGTATACATACTAAATAAATAAATAATTTAAAAAAAAAAAAGAACAGCAGTGAAGACAGTGGTACAAGCCGGGGTCCCTCCGCAGACCATAGGCCTGCTGGCCTTGCAGCAAGGAAACACGGAGTCATGCTTAGAAGTACCACAAAAGGACAGCCAGGGCCACCTGAGGATAGTGTCTCTTATTGAGCCACAAGGTTGGCCCAGTCTTCCTCCCACCCTTTAGCCTGGGGCCTACTCCATACACTGTCCTTGAGGTTAAGAGCACTGACTGTTCTTCCAGAGGACCTGAGTTCAATTCCCAGCAACCACATGGTGGCTCACAACCATCTGTAATGAAATCTGGCGCCCTCTGGCCTGCAGGCATACATGGAGGCAGACTTTCTATACATAATAAATAAATAAAATCTAAAAAAAAAGAAAAAAAGGACTTGAGAGACTTCCAAGAAAGGCAACTGTCAAGAATCCAGACATTAGCTGGGCTGTGGCAGCGCATGCCCTCAATCTCAGCCCTCAGGACTCAAAGACAGGTGGATCTCTGTGAGTTTGCGGCCAGCCTGGTCTTCAAGCAAATTGCAGGACAGGCTCTAAAGTTACAAGAAAAACCCTGTCTCAAAAAAAAACAGAAGAAGAAAAGGAAAGAAAAAAAAGAAAGCCGGGCGGTGGTGGCACACACCTTTAATCCCAGCACTTGGGAGGCAGAGGCAGGTGGATCTCTGTGAGTTCGAGGTCAGCCTGGTCTACAAGAGCTAGTTCCAGGACTAGCTATCTTGAAAACCCCCAAAAAAAAAAATTTCAGGAAAAACAAGAAAAAGAGTCCAGACATTGAAGGAAACTATGACCCTTGGTCTGGTAGCACAGAATCCAGGTGCAGCAGATCCATCCAGGTGTTGGGGAAGTGTCTAGCCTCTGTGGGGCTGTGGGGACACGGGTCCAGAAGGAGGACTGAGGGGCTGTTTTCCCCACTCCCAAAGTTCTCAGACATGCAACTTGCTCCTTAGAGAAGCCTGGAGAAACCCATCACAGGGCAACCAGGACCACATCTGTGTTCTAAGGGTCTTCACTGAGCCACATGGCTTTCCTATCAGACAGGGAATGGGTAGGGAAGACAGGCTCATTCTTCACAGTTGCAGGTCCAGAGTTTTCCCATCCTCTGTCTACCCATGTCTCTTTTCATTTGCTTCTTGAAGGGTTGAGTAGACTCGCTACTTACAGCGAGTGGGTGGTCCACAGGCTAAGGGCATGGGCTTCTGTGGCAGTCTGGGAAAGAGGGCTCTGGGAAGCTATCCACACTAGCACACATCCGGGTAACTGAGGCATGGCTTAAGATAGCTATACAGATGGGCCTGCACCCTGGGCTTGGTCAACTTCTCTATCTTTGGGAGTGTCCTTAGGAGAGGAGCCAGAACAGTGCCCTCTCAAGTTTAAAACAAGACTCCCCTTGTCTCATTCTACAGGGTTGGGATGGGAAGACAGAGAAGAAATGATCCATTCCTAACCCTAGGCTCATTCCCATTCCAGAGTAACCAAGAGCTCGCACCCTGTAGCTAGACAGTATGGGTCTAATCCTGATTAGCTGTGTACTTCAGCCAAATTGTGCAACCTCTCTGTGCTTCGCTTTCTTCATGATTAAAGCAGTGAGCACACACTGTTTCCTATGTGGGGTTCTCATGAGGATAAAATGAGAGAATATACAGAAAATCCCAAGCCCAGAGTGGGCATGTTGTGAGTGATTCAGCCTGAAACTGGCTACAGTTCTCCTGAGCTCAGCAAGGCTCAGCTCTGGTAAGATGTCATCAGAGGTTTGCTGTGGAAACCTGATGAGCTCATGGGATTGCACCACCATGGAGCAGAGCGAGCCTTCCCACAGCCCTGTTCCTAAAACTTTCCTTCTCGGTGACAAGAAAGGCACAGACTCTCAGAGCCTTTGCTTGGGTCCCCTTCTTAGCCCTCACTCAAGAGAACAAGTCACCGGGCACTCCCACCTCCAGAGACAGTGGAGGTCTGCATCAGAGGTCACAGTTGTGGAAGGTGCCTTATTTGCATCTAGGAAGACCAGGGAATGGCCACGACCATGCTCCATTCTTCAGAAGGTCAAGGAAGGGCATCTGGCCTTTCCTCTATCCTGAAGTATGGAGTATTGTCTGATTGTTTAGGCCGACTGGGTACAAACAGCCTTCATCTTCTCAAACCACTCTGGGCTCGTCTGTGCCCTGGGCTGTTTCCCACACCAGATTGCCTTTCTTCTCTAGCCCGCAAACAAATCTAAGGGCTGAGGGCCTCAGGCAGGTTAAGACGTGCACAGCCCCTCTCTGGCCCCTCTCCCCCCACCTCCAGGTCCACTTGAGCCCCTGGCAGTAGAGAGAACACTGAGGTCCTACCTCTGAATTGGTTAATCCAGACCATGGTGACAATGACAATAGTTACACTTAAAGTGCAACATTATTACTGCTAGTGTGGTACCCAGAGGAGACCACAAGCAACAAACTATCAAAAAATAGAAGCCATGAAGCTGGGGAGATGGCTCAGCAACTAAGAGCGCATACTGCTCTTGCAGAGGACCTGCGTTTATTTTCAACACCCACATGGGGTGGCTCACAACTGCCTGTCATTTCAGTTCCAGATTTTCAGACCCCGCTGCCCTCTTCAGGCTCCTGCATACACACACAAATACACACACACACAAACACACACACATACATACTGATACGCACGTGCGCACACGCACACAAATACACACATACACACAAACACACACATACACGCATACACACGGATACGTACGTGTGCACACACACATACACACGCATATGCACGTGGGCACACACACAAACACACACACGCCATGCACGAACACACTCACACACATGCACACAGATACATACACGCACGCATGCATATGCACATGCGTGCACACACACATACACGCATGCACGCCATGCATGCACACACTCACACACACAGGCACATACTCATACACACACACGCGCGCGCATGCACGTACACACAGGCACAGTGAAAACAAATCTTTTTTTTTTTTTTTAAGAAATAGAGGCAGTCGGGCTGGAAAGATGGTTCAGTAGTTAAGAGCATGTACAGCTCTTGCAGAGGACCCCTCTTTCTCTGGCCTAGTTCAGTTTCTAGCACCGGGTCAGTAACTCCAGATCTAGGGACTCCAACGCCCTCTCTGGACTCCGCAGGTAATTACACTCATGTATATAGACACACACAGACATAATTGAGTTGTATAGACTTTGGGTCTGGTAAAGTTTGATATTTGATGCTTTTTATTTATTTGCAATTTTCATAATAAAGTTTATAAAATTAAAAAAGCCCGAATGCCTGTCTTGAAGACAATTAAAAAGAAAACCCCAGTTCCACCTGTTGACATCCAGGCTCTCTGAATGATTTTCCAGGTGAATCTAGATGCAACCAACATTTAAGACCACACAATGCTGCCTGCACTGCAGCCCAAAACAAGAAATTAACGAGATTTTGAAATTCTAATGTTTTGTATCAATATTCTTCTGTGTAATGGGTAGAGAGTTTGGGCTATAGGCGCTTAAGCTGATAACTAACTTTAGAGAAATACAAGCAAGTTTCTGTTATTCTCCACCCCGCTTGTGCCGTTTGAGAAATCAATAAAATCTAATCAGTTCTGAAAAAGACTGTTCTCTCTCTCTCTCTCTCTCTCTCTCTCTCTCTCTCTCTCACACACACACACACACACACACACACACACAGACACACACACACCATGTTTAGTGTTTCCCTCAACCTTGGCCAGAAAATGCTTCTCTCCACAGGGGTCAGGGGTCAGCAGCTGAAGCAGAGACTCAGAACTGGCCACAGTGCTGATGATGAGTGATTACTGAGTACTCAGTCATAAATGGGACATGTCTATCAATACCCCCACAAAGCTGAAGGGGGCATGTCTATCAATACCCCACAAAGCTGAAGGGGGCATGTCTATCAATACCCCACAAAGCTGAAGGGACATCTCTATCAATACCCCCACAAAGCTGAAGGGACATCTCTATCAATGCCCCCACAAAGCTGAAGGGACATCTCGAAGAGGGGATGTATGAACTTAAGAGCGCACAGATGGGGAGAAGTGACACGAAATACGGCCATGACATGGATGTCGCCCTCATGAACCCACTGCAACCACGGTTACCGTCAGAAGACTGCAGCAGGTCAAGCCAACAGGATTAGCCAATGCTCCAGCAGGCATATTGACAGGACTCAATGGGTTATTTAAAAAATAAAAATGTCAAGGACATGAAGGTGGGCCGCGGATGTGTGTGGGATACCTTGGGGGAATGAGGAATCTTGGGGACAGATATGACCGAGATACATTGTTTACACGTGAGAAACTGACAAAGAATACTTAAAAGATTTTCTATTAAAGTGTCCTGGAACATCTCTTCCTTGGATCCTCTCTCACTCTTGGGAGTTCTTTCTTCTTTTTCCTTAATAAATCTACATTGGCTGTGCTTGCCATTATGAACGTATTTCTAAATATTTTAAAAATAATAAACGCATTGGCTTTAAATTGAGGAACAAGAAAACTGTTTTATAAAATGGAGGTAACTTTGTGAACCACTAGGCACAGATCCCAGGATCCCCTGGAAGGTGTGAGGCCTGGCCCCGCACACAAATGCCAACTCCAGCACCCTACAGTAGAACTTGCTGGTCTGTAGCCCTCAGCTCTGGCACCGCAAAGGATCAGAGTAGCTGGGCTCTTTGCCGCATTGGTTTTGTGGGGGAGCTGGCACTTTGACATGAGAAGGCGTGGACTGGGCGTGTCTCTTTCCCACTCGGCCACACTTCCAGCCCCTGAGTAACACTGCAAACCACTGTGCCTACCACTGTTCCCTATCACTGCCTGCTTCTGTCCTCCCCACCCTTCCAGACCAGTCGTCCCCAGAGAGCCTTCCCAGACTGCCCTTCTTCACCTGGCATGACACTGCTGTCATTCGCTGAGTGATGGATCCGTCTGCGCTCTAGTGAATTGTATTCTAACTGGACCCTCAGGGTCAGGGTCCTGAAGTATTTTCACTCCCAGCTCTGCATCCCAGCACCCGGGTCAGGGCTGGGCACAGGAATGTCACTAGGCTGAAGGAATGGAGTAAGTGTGGCTCTCTGTGGCCACTCCCTCACTCCCTCATCTGCCTAATAAAATCGACAAGCACTCGGGCTCTGTCAGCCTAGTCAGATCTGTGTTCAAATTCAGACACTGTACTTACCAGTTGTGTAGACTCCAAAGGTTCTCCTCCCTATCTACCAAAGCCTTAATTTCCTCATTAGAGTCCCAGCCCTTAAGGTTGAAGTTAGCAGACAGTACATTTGAAGCACTGTATAGTGACTGGTAAATGGCAAACATTCCATTTAGCTCTGGAGTGAATGTGAACGTCATCATCTAAGCCTGACATGGGATGAAAGGGGACAGCATTAACTGTTCCAGACAACGGACACCAGCCAGGGTGGACCGTGAACCTGTGACCATGCTGCTCCCCCCCCCCCACCATTCACAGCCAGTTCCCTGAGAGCCAGGACTGGCCATTGTCCCCCATTAGAATCTCCCTGGCGCACTTTCCCTGCCCCCTTCCAGCTATGGCTAGCTGATCCACTGAGGGGCTTCTCCTCCCAGGGGACTCAGCTGCTGTGGCCTTCTGGGTAAGAGCAGCAAGTCCCTTTGCTGATGTCCCCACATCCCCACAGACCCGGGAGGGAAGCAGGAAACCTACCGTGAGGGGCCGGGCAGTTGGGGCCAGAAGCCCAGTGTTTTTCTCAGAAGCAGAGCAGTATTTTGTGTGCCCTGTGCTCAGCTGAATCCAGCCTCGATGCTGACCAAAGTCCTGGGAAGGGTTCCTCCCCCTCGTGTGGATTGACCGTTCCCGGAATGACACCAAGGTCACTTGGGCAAGGCCTCTGAAGATTACAAAATGACCCTGAATGGTTCCCATAGACAGATGCCCAATAGGGCTAAAATCCCAGTGAGACTATATATAGGTTTGGCAGCTCTATGACCCTAAAATGCACTATACCTTAAAAGGTGCCTCCAGAAGCTGGGCAGTGGTGGCGCACACCTTTAATCCCAGCATTTAGGAGGCAGGCAGATTGTGAGTTTGAGGCCAGCCTGGTCTACAAAGTGAGTTCCAGGACAGCCAGGGCTACACAGAGAAACCCTGTCTCAAAAACAAAAACAAAAAAGTCCCTCCAGGCTGCATTGCACTGAGACGAGGGGCATTTCATTTCAGAGGTGGGGGCTAAGAGGCCACCTGCTCAGCATTCAGCACTGCCACTAAGAGAAAGCCTAAAAATGTACTGCTCGCTTCTTAAACACACACACACACACACATGATAGAGATAGATAGATAGATAGATAGATAGATAGATAGATAGATCACACATGATTGACAGATGATAGATAGATAGATAGATAATAGATAGATAGATAGATAGATAGATAGATAGATAGATAGATAGATAGATAGATAATATATGCATATATAGTGTGTGTGTGTTGTGTGTTGTAGGCATATGAGAGCGTGAGTGGATGGGTATATGGGCTTGAAGTGAGCATCTGAGGGTGTGAGTTAGGGGGTGTATGTGAAGTGAACATGTGAGTGTGAGTGGAGAGGTGTGTAGTGAGTGTGTAAATTGAGTTGTATATGTGTGCATGCACTCGGAAGTAGTATGTATAATAAAAATGAGAGCGACTGTGTGGTGGGTATGATCGGGTGAGGGATGTGTCGTGTGTGCAAATGCATGCAATTATACATGAGTGTTCATGAGGTATAGCATGAAGGAGTGACCAAGAGAGGCAATATAATGCCTCAGTGCTGGGAGTCTATCACCCAGTGTAATCTGAAGCTGCTTAACTGTTGCTCATTGTTAAGAAACTGCTATGACTTATTGCTTCATTTGCAATAACAAATGACATCCCACAGTGCAAAGTTCTGACCAACCAGTAGGAAGCACTTCCTTTCAGAACAGAAGAAGACAGGAGTCTGTTTGTTTGTCTGTTTATTTGTTTGTGCTTTGAGACAGGGTTTCTCTGTGTAGCCCTAGCTGTACTGAAACTCATGTTGTAGACCAGGCTGACCTCGAACTCAGAGATCCACCTGCTTCTGTCTCCAGAGTGCTGGGATTAAAGGCATGCACCACCACCACCCAGCTGACAGGAGTCTTTAAGAGGCAGACAAGCAGTGAACCTGTGATGTGGGGTTACCCTCTGTATTCTGTGAATACCATTGGTTAATAAAGAAGCTGCCTTCAGCCAATGGCTTAATAGAGTAAAGCCAGGTGGAAAATCTGAAGAGAGATGTAGAGAGAGTAGGCAGAGTCAGGAAGACACCATTTAGCTGGCCGCCAAGGAGACAGATGCTCAGGAACCTTACCAGTAAACCACAAGCCTCGTAGTAAAATATAAAATAATAGAAATGGGCTAATTTAAGGTGTAAGAGCTAGCTAGAAAAAAGCTAGAGCTAATAGGCCAAGCAGTGATTTAATTAATACAGATTCTGTGTGGTTATTTTTAGTCTGGACAGCCGGGAACGAGCTAGCCGCCTCCGGTAACAAACCCGGTGTACCCAGGCTCACCCTGGATGGTGTCCAACGTGGTGGAGGCAGAATGTTTGCTTTGAGGAATGGCAGGGCATGCAACCTGCAAATCTTAGGAGGCACACACCCAAGCTGGCAGACAGCTGTCCTATCCTGTCCCCACCCCCACCCCCTGGGGCCTTGGCTCCTCTGGAAACACAGCTTGTCTCACTTGTCGCACAAGAGGAATCTAGCACCAGAACAGTTTGAATTCTGACTTTGCAAGAAACTAATCGTAAGACAAGCGATTTGGTCTCTGCAAATCTGTGTTCTCTCCCACAGGAGGCACTAGGGAAGTGTGTGTGTATACCTATGTGTGTGTATATATGTGTCTCTGTGTCTGTGTGTCCCTGTGTGATCTATATGTCTATGTGTGTATCTGTGTCTCTGTGTGTATTTGTCTGTGTGTGTAACTGTGTTATGTGTGTCTGTTTGTGTGTCTGTATATCTGTGTCTGTGTGTCTGTGTGTGTGGTCTATGTGTCTCTGTGTGTATCTGTCTCTGTGTGTCCCTGTGTGATCTATATGTCTATGTGTGTCTACGTGAGTCTGTGTGTGTGTATCTGTGTGTGCGTATCTGTGTTATGTGTCTGTTTGTATGTCTGTGTATCTGTCTGTGTGTCTGTGTGTGTGTGGTCTATGTGTCTCTGTGTATGTGTCTGTGTGTCCATGTGTCCAGACCGCAGACATGTGTGCATATGTGTATGCAGTATGAGGGGATATTTGCATCAAGAGCTTTGGGGATCCTGCACAAAATAAGCAGCAGATTTGGCCCCTCTCCCCATTATGTGGAATTCCAGAAGCCTGTCCCAGGGGACTCTGGGTGATTAGGGGAGGGTAGCCAGCCAATAGTTCACAAGGTGACTCTGGGAAATTCATTGTATTGAGTCCACTTTTTTCATCTGTCAAACGGGTCAAACTTTCTCTTAAAGGTCCCCTAGCCATAGTGGCCTATGGACATGTTTGCTATTGCTGTTCAGCCCCCATATATTTCCCCAAAGGCCTTTTCACCACCCAGAATCAAATTTTTGTGAAGAATCAACCCATCCAGGCCAGTTTTATAATGGCAGCAAGAGCAGCATCCACAGATGTGAGACCCCTCACCAAGATGTCCACAGAGAACACACTTGTCCCGCGTATATGTTTATTGTTGATTCTGTACACCAAATCTACCACAAGCAGCATCTAGCAAAGGACAGACCCCCAACCCTGCCCACCAGGGCTCACATTCTATAAAACACCAGGGGTCTAGAAAGCTCTAAATGCGCTGCCGAGCAGCTGGGACTCTTTGCAAGGATCGTCTCGTAAGGCAAGTGTGATTATTCTAGAATGCAGAGCAAAGGCAACGGGAGGCAAGTTCACTCTCTCCTTAGGGCCCTGGGACCTGGTGGTGTTTCACCCTGGAGCTTCCTGCTGCCCTCTCTGTTTGTACCACACTGGTGTCTTCCTTCCTGAGATCACCATCATTCAACGTCCAGATCTGGTTCTGACCATGGGGTCTGGGCCTGAACCTTGGAGTAGCATGTAGCTAAGTCTAGAACACACACAAGGCCTGCTTCCTGACTCCGGTGACCGGCCTGCTCTTCATATCCTTCCCGAGGCTGGAAGCGGATTCCAGAGTTCCATCTGGATGCCCGTGGGAACTGTGTGGCTGCCAGTGAGAAGCTCCGAGAACCCAGAAGTATGTGTACAGCCTGTTTCCTCTGGTCTCGTGATGGAAGCCCTAGACAGCCCACGAGACTTTGTACAGAGATGGTCTGCTGGGCACTGTGCAGAAAAGGCTCCAACACAAGAGGATAGCGGTGTGACTAAACTCAAAAGGAGTCGAGAAGGTGAGAAAGAGATGCACCCAGGCCCCCAGGATCTGTTAACATGGTGACTCTAGTTGGCCTTTATTAACTTCTTCCAGCATCCACTCCCCTCCCCGCTCCACATAAATGCTGGCCATGGTAGTCTAGACACCAGTTAACAGAGAGGGTAAGAGGGCTGAACTCTGTGCTGCATCACAGACGTCTATGGGCTACAGAGCTCATTCCAGCTCCAAGAATTGAGCAAATGCATTACCCTACTGGAAAGAACCCTCCACACAGTGTTCCCAGCACCTCCCTCTCTGACCAGAAGATGTGGAGAAATCGAAAGGCCCACGGATAAGGAACAGGCCCGATGACACCATCTGGACACTGTACTGGGGAGAAAGGAAAAGGCTCCCTTGTCACTAGCACCTGTGTGCACATAGATCACTGTCCGTGAGCTCCTAGGCAGGCCATGAGAGACAGCTGCTCCCAGGCCAGCCTTTGGGCCAGCAAGGTCTATCCCTGTCGTGGCCAATGTCAAAAGTGGTCACTGGCTCCAGGTTATAACTGGCAGGGGACCCTGGATACTGCAGATTCCAGCTCTCTCCAGCCCTAGCTCCCTGAGGCCGGATGTAGCTCACAAGAATCATCAGATGGTTCTGGAGAACGCAGCACTGCAATAGAGCAGGCCCAGCTCCCTCTCTTCAGCTCAGGATCCACCAACGGGCCAGTCAGCAGAAGCACACTCACACTCTCTCTGGGGTTAGGGACATCCTTGGTCCATGTGAACCAGGGTTTGCCCTGAGGAGATATCTTTTGACTGACATCAGATTCTCCGGGGCAGAGTGTGCTGGTTCTCACAAGCATTCTTTCTGGACTATTCTGTTAGGGAACCAGAGGGGAGGCTCTCTGTTGCCAAGACTCAGAGGGATTTCTTGTTTGCTCTGTAAGCACCATTGCAGGTTGGAAGTACATTTCCTGAGCCCTGTGGTCAGAGAGAGTCCTTCCCTCGAGGATAGGAAAACCTGACATTCTCCGTTTCACTGTTTTGTTTTCAAGGGAGGGTTTTTATACATAGCCCTGGCTGTCCTGGAACTCATTCTGTAGACCAGGCTGGCCTTGAACTCAGAGGTCTGCCTGCCTCTGCCTTCCAGGGCTGGGATTCAAGGTGTGCCCCCACTGTGTTTGGTTGTTTTTGCTTCTGCACAGGTGTATCAGTTGTCCTAAGAGAGCTAGGTCACCTTCGTAACTGTTGAAAGTGTGGAAATAGACACAGGTGTAGCAGGAAACACAGTCAAGGCAGATGAATTGTGGCTGTCACTCAAAGAGAAAACTCTAAACTAAACCATTCAGCTCATAACCAGAACCCAGAGCAAAGTGAGCCCACGCCCTCACGCGAACTTCCAGCCTGCCCTGGTATCTGTCGTCTCTGAACACCCTGGAGTCTGGCTACCAGCTGACTAGTGTTGATGAAGAATTTGACCACAATTCCTGGTTTCCATTATACTTGGTTATTCAATTGGAAGATCTCATCTCTGAGCTATTTTGCTTCCCCCAAATGGAGAACAAAATTAGAAACAGATATGGGCATATAAATACCCATACAAGGACGGGTTGAGGGGATGCGGATGAACAGAACAGGGCTTGTTGGCAGGGGAGAAGTGTGCTTCCACGGGCTACTGTACTTCAGATGCTTCTGGTCTGGCCAGCTCAGTTGCCTCTTGTCCTGACTGTACCTCTCTCTCTTTCTCACTCCCAACAGCTAGACCTTTGCAAAAGCTGCCCACGGAGGGGTAGGGGAGGTTGGGGAGGATCCCTCCCTAGCCCATGGAAAGCTAGGAAGTCCACAGCATCTCCAGAAGTCCTTCAGAACAAGCTTGGAGTGGAGACACTGTGATGTCTTTTCTTGGTATCATGCTGATCACACAGATATCTATTGAGATTGGGAGAATTCATCAAGCTGTACGCTATCACTCCACTTTTTGTATGAACGTGATCCTTCAATACACAATCAGAAAGGGGAAGTGAAGGGCTGAGTACAAGGGCCCTGGGAGGTTGTGTCCTTTTAGCCATTGTTAATGAGCTGACTTCCAAGTTTTGAGAACTTAATGACTGCGTGATTTTATACCATAAAGGGATAAGATCTTTGGAGGAAAGCTAGTGGCTTTAAACGTCCTTCTCTAAAGGGCTGAACTGTTGCAACAGATTCTGATGACAGCTCTGCCCGAGGGACCGACAGCAGAGGTGTTTTCTGACTTATAGCATGTGCTCCAAGCCAGGGCAGTGAGCTAAAAGATCCAAACCTTCTCACAGAGAGAACTTAAGTCTGCCTTTGGCAGCAAAAAAACAAAGGGTAACCTCTCACTTGAGGGAATAGAGTCAAGCCATGGCACAAAAAGAGAAGCAAGAAAAAAAAATCAACTTATATAATGCTTTGAGGCATGGGTTGTCCCAGCAGAGAACTAACTATCTTATAACGTGAGCAGGCCTTGTCATCATTAAGTCTACAGAGGCTGAGAGGGGCTGGGTGCAGCAGTGAGGATTTGACAGAGGGTCCCTCTGAAGGATGCCTCTGGGGTTGCGTGTTTCTTTGTTTGTTTAGTGACCAATTCAATTTCTCTGGGAGTAAAAGGTCCTGAAATGGCTGCTTCTCTATAGAAGACTCAGGGGCTCAGGACAAGATGGGGGCGTTTTCCCCTGGGCCATCCGAGCTTGACTGTGTGGACCCAGGTTTGGAAGCTGAATGATGGCATGCTTTGGTCCTCTGGTGTCATTGTTCCCCAGCCCTGCTTTAGCCTGCTTCCCTAACACTCATTGGGAGCCTTCATCTGCATCAGGACCGCCTGGCTCCTCTTCTTACAGCAACAGCAGCAGATGCAAGCAGCTAGGGAACAGGCCAACGCAATGATGCCGATCACAATGGCGGCAATAGCCAGCCCCGTCTGGGCGTCAGTCATGCCCCATGTATTGCGGTCATCGGAGACTTCGACAGTGGTCAGATCTGTGTAATCTTCCACAGCGGTGGTGATCTCTGTGGTAGAGGAAATGGATGTGGTGTCGGGATAGCTGGGTGACCCTGGCTGATTAGGGTCTACATAGCGTGGCACTTCCGGGTAGCTAGATACGTCAGGAACCTGGGCACTGGGCCCAGGGATGATATTGATGATGACAAGAGACTGGCCTCGGACATTGGCTGGGCTGGAACACACTGGAAGAGTGTCTGTCCCCAACCGGGCTCTGTTGAGAAGGAGCCAGTTATGAAGTGGGAGGATATCTGAGTCACACCTCCAGGGGTTGTCATAGAGACGAAGGTCACACAGGTTCACCAAGTGGTCAAAGATGCCCAAGGGCAAGTTCTCTAGATTGTTGTTCTGCAGCTGGATGGTCGTGAGGCCGTTGACGTTGGCGAAGATGCTGCCGGGGAGCTGTCGAAGGCGGTTATTTTGGAGGGAGATATTCTGCAGGTTGGACAAAGCTCGGAAGACATTTCCATCCAGGCCCTGTAGTGCATTGGTATGGAGGGACAGTTCTCGCAGGTTCGTCAAGCCGTTGAAGGCTCCTGGGGAGATGGAGTTGAGCTGATTGTGACTAAGAATCAGCACTTGCAACTGGGGCAGGTTGATGAAGGTGTTGTCAGGGAGGGAGGAGATGTGGTTGTTGTAGAGCCAAAGCTCCCGCAGGTTGGGCATAGGCCCAAAGATGCCCGGGGAGAGCTCCTTCAGGGAATTGCCGAAGAGCGTGAGCCTGTTCAGCTGGGGCAACTGCATGAAGATGCCAGGCGGCAGCTGCGAGATGTGGTTGTTGGACAGATACAGTTTCTGGAGGTTGCGGTTATTGTGGAACAGGCCAGGGGACAGGGTGCCGATCTGGTTCTCCTGGAGGGCCAGCTCCTGGAGGTTGCCAAGAGCATCAAAAGTGCCCATGGGGATGTCTGAAAGCCTGTTCTCATACAGCCGGAGCACCTGGAGGTTGCCAAGGTTCTGGAAAACCCTAGGTGGCAGGTGGGTGAAGCCATTCTTGCCCAGGTTGAGCTTGGTGAGGCCCACCAGGTGGTCAAAGGTACCTTCGGGGATGTATTCCAGATTGTTGCCGTGCAACTGGAGTTCCTTAAGATTGCTAAACTGGGAGAACTGGGCTGGCTGGATCTGAACCAGTTGGTTATTGGACAGAAGGAGGGATTCCAGATTGTCCAGGCCCTGGAAGAGACCAGGGGGCAGCATCTGTATTTTGTTGTTGGCCAGGCTGAGGTAGCGCAGCGAACCCAGGTTGCGGAAGGCACCTGGCATGATGTTGGACAGTTCGTTCTTCTCCATCCTCAGGGCAATGAGGGCTGAGACGTTGAGGAACGGGGTCTCCGGGATCTCGGTGATGTGCGTGTTGAGGATCTGCAGGCTCATAGCATTCCAGGGCAGAGGGGTGGGCACTGCCACAATCCGTGCCCCTGTACACTCTACTTGGGAGGCCCGGGAACAGGTACATTCACTAGGGCAGCCATAGTAGGCCAAGCCTGCAGCCCAGGCTTGGCAGCCCACCAGCAAGAGGAGATAATATTTCAGTGACATGGCCTGTGTGGGGAGAGAGAAGCTGTGTGAGTCACGGTCACCTTGCTGACCACCAACCCCTTCACTCCTCCTAATTCCGCCTAGATCCACTCCCCACACCTCATCCCAATTCATGTCCTCTTTATTTTTAAAAATAATCCACGGAGTCCAGTTTGTGCTGCCCATATACACATGGGTGTGGGGCCAGCCACTCAGCACAGTCTACCTGCCAGGGGCCACACCCTTAAATAAAACTCAATTTTCAATAGCTCCTCGGCTAGGGGTGGGGGTTCATAAGCCCCTCCCCCAAACCCATGCTGGAATGTGGACTGGCTTGATTTTGCACAGGTCTTCAGTGGTTGTGGTGAGTCCATGACAGGCCCTCCCCCACCTGTGGCTCTCACGGTCTCCCCGCCCCCTCTTCAGTTCTCTGAGGAACTGTACCACATATGACACGACCTCTGTAGCTCTCAGCCCCTGGCTGGCAGAACATGGCCTGGTAGGAAGGACCAGAAAGGCATTGAAAATAAGTCAGTCTATCAATAGGGTCTGAGCCTGGGATGTTCAGGCCACAGGACGGGGCAGTGAGACCCAGCAGAGGGAGGAAACACTAACCCCAAGTAGCTCTTCCTGCCCTGTCTCCTGACCCTCCCTACCGGCCCATCGCCAGCAACACCACCCTGGCTCTTTCTCAGCCCGTCCACATGCGCCTTATTTAGATTTAATCCAAGCCATCTCCTGATAAGCAGCCACCGTCTGCACCACAGGCTGCCTGTCTGGAAGAGGGGGCTGGGCCTCAGCTGATGCCTAGGGTGTGGCTCCTGGTGTGAGTCTGGTTCCCACAGGAAAACACTGGGTGGCCTGGAGTAAGTCCCTGAAAACAAAGATACACTTAAAGCTGAAGGGTATAAGTGGGTCCAGATGTCTCCTTAGGCGCAGGAGCCAAATACACGGAGGGCCTGGGGTTTGAAGTCACCTATGCCAATGCTAAATACAGAGCCAAGGGCGTAGTTCCCTACGTGGGTATTGGAGGTACTGCTTGGCCTTGAATGAGAGTTCTCAGGCCTCAAACTTCAGCTTCCTCATCTGCTAAGTGGGGGAGACAACCTCTGTTTTCCCTTGGGGTTGTTGTGTGGGTTGGATGGGAGAAGATTCCAAGGGCATCCTATGCATGGCTGTATTAATACACGCACGCCCTTGTTCCCAGTTTACCCATAGTACACATTTATGGGCCCCTGAAGGCAGCAAGCCCTCCGCGTGTCTCTAGTCTGGCAGGCTTAGTCAAGGGACTAAGGATTTTTTTGTGTAGACATGAGAGGCCATGATCTCTGCCCACAGTTCAAAGGAGCCTATAACTCCTGAGGCCTCAGGAGTTGCCACCGCTCATGATTTTATGGGGAGGCAGGGAAACTGAGGCTCCAGTCTTAAGGCTCCGGTCCCCAGGTTTCCAGGGGAGGACTTTGAGTGGCGAGCAGTGCCCCTCCTAAGGGGCAAAACTGACGACAGGCAGGGATGTCAGTGGGCAGTCAAGGCACACACTGGGCAAGGCGGGACACTCGGTAGCTTCCCTCGGCGCCCTGGGATGATGGGGTCCTGAGCCTAGCTCCCCACCCAGGCCTAGGCTTCCTACACCCCTTTCATTCCCCCGACCAAAAAAGCAGCTGCGAAACACCCTATTATTATCTCCCTCCCACATAGCCCTCGACTTTTCATTTATTCTCAGTCCTTTCTAGCTCTGGCCTGTGGAACTTTGATGAAGGACTTGCCTAAGTATGTATGACTATGGGGGGAAGACAAAAGAACAGCATGGCCACTCGAGTCTGGTGGCAAAAGTCTAGGAGGCAGGTAAAGATGCGGGCCACATTTAAACAGTTCCAAAAATAGAGAGAAGACTTTTTACACAGAGGACCCACAGATCCAGGCATAGTGGCTCAAGCTACTACTCAGGAGGCTGAGGCAGGAAGATTTCTGCAAGCCTGAGGCTAGCCTGGACTATGGAGTGAGACCTTGTCAAAAAAAAAAAAAAAAAGAAAGCATTAAGAAAACTAATTAAAAAGCCTAGGCCCAGAGAGCTCTGTCAAGCCAGTGCTGGGTGAGTGGAGGCAGGTGGATCCTGGAAGCTCTCCAGCTGGACAGCCAGCCTAGCTAAATGGAGGAGCTCCAGGGTCAGTGGAAGACTTTAGCTCAAAAATTAAGATGGGGTGCAATCGAGGAAGACACGTGAAGTTGACCTCTGGCCTCCGCGTGTGTACCCAAAGGCACAAGGACACACCTCTCACCCCACTCCTAACAAACACACACACACAAAGAGAGCACAGGAAAAAAATGGCTCCATCTCCAAAATGTCAGGTTTTGGGTTGGCAAGAACAAGAAAACAATGCTGCAAGAAAAGCTAACGGTCTTGAGAGAAGTAGGGAGTATGGCAGGGAAGGGGTGTTGGTCTTACCCGAAAGTCCTAGATCAGGCCCCTTCTTATTGTGCTATGCTTGGTACCGCTCTGAACGTCAAAGCCAATGACAAACTGGTTTCCTTTTTTTTTTTTTTTTTTCCAAGACAGGGTTTCACTGTAGTTTTAGAGCCTGTCTAGCTCTTGTAGACCAGGCTGGCCTCAAACTCACAGAGATCCACCTGCTTCTGCCTCCTGAGTGCTGGGATTAAAGGCGTGCGCCACCACTGCCCGGCTGACTAACTGGTTTCTTAAAGAACTCCTAGATCAGGGGTTCTCAACCTTCCTAATGCTGTGACCCTTTAATACAGTTCCTCACATTATCGTGACCCCAACCATAAGATTATTTTCATTGCTATTCCATCACTGTAACTTTTGAGAACCAACGGCTGGTGAGAGGAACAGACCATCCAAACATCCACCGAAGGAGCTGCGGAGAGATTGCCGGAAGTAGAGAGAGAATCCACGAGCCTTTCCAGAGTGTGAGGAACACCAGCGTACTTGGGTTGTGGCACAGCCGAGTTCAGTTCACACTCAGTGTGCACAGCCTCACAGAGGCAGCAAGCTCCATGTTCAAGCATAGCTGCGCACTTTTAGATGCACTTTGAGATGAAGAAAAGATTCCTACCCCACCCCGAGCAAGCAGTTCGTGGAGAAGACAGCAGATGCCCAGCCCATGGCTAAGACTATGGTTCTATGGCAGAGTCCCAGAGAGTGGAAGTGAGAACCACCCATCTTCCAGGAGGCTGGGCAGTCAGGGCTTGTGTCTGTCCATCCCCTTGGTAGATATGTGCGAGACTCACTCCTGGCTGAGTCTGAACTACTAAGTTTTCATAAATATTCCTTTGCCTAGCTCCAGGGATGATGTCATAGCCCAAGTAATGGAGAGTGATTATGTACCCATCACCCGGAAGCCCTGCCTGTTGCTTTTCTTGTAGGAAGCAGCTCCCTTGGGGACCAATCCCCCAGCTATGCAGGGATATCAGGCCAGCCCCATGAAGACTCTGAGCTCTGAGGCTGTGTGTGTGTGTGTGTGTGTGTGTGTGTGTGTGTGGTGGTGGTGGTGGTGGTGGTGGTGGTGGTGGTGGTGGTGGAGGGGTTGCTGGACACTTTGTAGCCTAGGAGGAAAACCAAAGAGATAATTCCCTGTGGGAACAGGCATTGCTGTCTAAAATGGACCACACTCAGCACAACAAATATTTCAAGAATTCCCAATGTCTTTTTATAAATCCTCCCCCATCTGCTGGGCCCACCCAGTGCTGCACGCAGCTGTTTCCAGTTTTCCAGTGGTTGTGACAGCTGGAGCCCCACCTTTCACACCTGCCTGCTCCTGACCCCCTGCAGAGAGCACCACCAAGGTGCCCTACTCCTGCAGATGCAGCACTCAAAGCCGGCCTGGGGCTAGACCTTAAACTCTCGGAGGTGCTGCAGGCTATGGCCTTGGCCTCAAGGAACCAATGTCGGCCCTAATAGCCCACGCTGCCCAGTGCTGCTTGGCAGCCATGACAATGGCAGTTAAAGGCCCTCAAAGCTGCCCTAATTACAGCCTCCTCCTCCTCCAGGCACTGAGCGCGTCCTCAATCATTTGGGCCAGCCCCTGGGGAGGGGGGGGACACCTGGCGTCAGTCGGACCCATGTAGTCAGAAAAGCTGGGCAGACAGACCGAAGGACGGACGGCTCACCTGGACATGGACGCAGCCCCTCCCCAGGAGTGGAAACGATTGAACAGGGCGCTGGCTCTGGGTCTCTTTGCAGAAACACCCTGTGACTCACAAGCGAACACATAATTAGCTTTGAAGCCCCGGACGTCTCTGCTTGGGAGTTGGGCTTTCTTGGATTCGTCCCATTGTTCATCTTCCCTAAACACAGCGTTCCCTGGAAAGAGACTCCTTACTCCAATGCCACAAAGTGAGACTTTTGAAGAGATCCAGGGAGACACCTACTCTACAGTGGTCTTGACATTAGCAAGCCGAGTTGAGGTAAATACTGAGGCCTTGGTTTTCCCTTCTGGAAAAGCTTCCGAAGCCCTTATACCCATCCCCTCTTCCCCATGAGGAGCCACCCAGCTAGGTCCCACTTGCACCCCAAGGCTTGAAAACCCTAACACTCTCAAGCCTGTATGTTTCAGAAGTTTCCCTAGCAGGACAATCCCGCGAGTTAATCGCTGTATCTTCACACAGCCCAAGACCTGAGAAGACCCTAAAGGGCCTCTCTTGCCCTGCCCAGTGCACCCGAAGGAATGGAGGCCCACAAAGAGGATCTCATTCATGCCTGTGACACTCGCTGAAGATGGCTTCCTAATCAAGGCCTCTTCAGGAGTGAGATAGACCCTAGGCCAAGCCAGAGAGGCCAGACTTGGGCATGCACTGCCCAGCCCCACCCGTGTTGTCCTCAGTCTGGCTGCTCTTGGATGCCACCGGTTAAGGGGTGTGAAATCAGAGAGGCTGGACCTGGTTGGAATTCAGACCTCGGGATATCTCTCTCTCTCTCTCTCTCTCTCTCTCTCTCTCTCTCTCTCTCTCTCTCTCTCTCTCTCTCTCTCACACACACACACACACACACACACACACACAC